CACGTTGGAGCACCGCGCCGTCCATGCCCTCATTCCTTGTTCCACGACGCCGGTCGTGCCCCTCCTCCTCCACGCCTGCACTCCCACAGCAGAGGCCTTCAGGAGCGCGCGGACAGCTGCTTTCCCACCCCCACGGTGAGTGCGTGGCTCACTGCCCGCTATGTGTTCGATGAAATGCCCCACAGTGAGTGCAAGGGCCCTAGTTAATTGCATTCACTCTTGACTCAGAGTTACTTTTTTTTTGAGGAAAACAGGAGGGTGCAGGCCCCTACTGTGCTTTTATTATAAAACTCAAAGTTACTTGAATAGATGTTCCTGATCCCTGACCTGTGGTTTTCATTGAAAAACTATGAATCATGACCCTTGTTTTCCATAGAAAAGCTGTGAATCAGTAGAGGTGTTGCTGCTTACTTGAATTAGTATGCATGGTTTATATGGAGATGTGGATGTACCAGAATCCATGGTTCAAAGTTTTTTGAGAACAAAAGGACCATTGTCAGCGGAAAAGATATTTTTTGTCCAATAGTTTTTAGCAAGTAAGCAGCCGGCCTAATTATGGTGCATGTACATTTATGATTTATGATTTATTAGGTTGTTGTCTTCCCAGTAGCAACTGATTCCTATTCGATTGAGTTACAGGCTTCTTGGCTAAATTATAAGACTTAGTTTGCTTTTGCAAACCTGCAAGCACACATGTACAGTCAGCTTGGCCAAATTATGTCATATATGCTTCTATATGTTTGGTGTGTGTAGTCTGAACATTTGGACAGAGTATAAATTCTTGTTTATCAAGATGCACTGAATATATGTCTCACACATCATCTAGCACAATAAGTTCAGATAAGTGCTTGCTAAATCTCTCTGACTAATAAGGTCATAGCTGGCTAAGTTTTTTAGTACAAGTGATCCATGGAGAGAATACAAAGCTTCAAAATGACACATAGCTTCAAAATGGGATTTCTTTAAATTAATTCACCATGAAATGATATTGACTGTTGAGGCACATCGTGTGTTTTTGTTCAAGGTCAACTATACCAAAAATCGGTAGGTGTGTAAATCCTACCTGTTCTGTGTGCTATATAACCATGGCTATCAAAATCCTAGCTGTATGTGAACTTAATATTCTGATACATCAAGTTTGAATGACAACCTAATTTACTTAAATGTATAGGCAACCATGGCATGGTATGTAGTGCATGTTGGTCACATGCTTGGGATTTATCGAACCTAGGAAGATTGATATGCTCAAGTCAATCGCTACCCTGGTAATTTGCACAAAAAATACAATACAGAAGCTAAAGCTTTGAGGGCCTACTATAGTCATCAGGCCTACCTTGCAAACCATGGGCAACCGGCCTACTATGGTCCAATGAATGCAAACCATGGCCATCCGCTGGCACTGGAGATTGAAGAGAAGCCACCCGCCGGAGATATGAAGATTAGGAGAATTGCTCCTTGGTCTTGGAAAGATGTCATGCTTTTATTTTTGGCTATAGTCATTGCTTACTTTCATAGAACAATAGGTGGACTTTGTTGTATGTGGTCAATCAAACAATGAATTTGTTCAAGGTGAACATATGCTATTATTTGACTTTGTTGTATGTGGACTTATTATTAGACTTTGCATTAAACATATTATATATATATAATATGAACATATGCTATTAGTAGTTGTCCGCAGCCAAAACTAACTAGGATCGTGTCACAGCCATGACTCACCATCGCCTGTTACCCCATCACCGAAGAACAGATCAGCAACAAGAAGCGGCTGATATTGCTGGGACGGGAGAGCCACATGATCCGATAAACGGTGACGGTGTCAATCAGGACGGTGAGAACGAGCAGCCATGGGCCCCGTCCAGCCTGCTTGAGCTAGGTCAAAATGACCAAGATGGCTAGGTAACTTTGGTATCATGTGACTATGTAGCCACACACGCTAATCAATTGAGAGGGTCATAGCTTACTTGGTGTCTCCAGCAGGAGCCTCCGCCGGTCGAGGAGCCAGAGGGTTCGGGTAGCAGGAAGACCAGATCGAAGCGAGGCATGTCAAAGATTCCTGTTGGTAGGAATGCACACTGGCACATCACTGAGTTCAATGAATTCAGGGATCCACTCTCGCCGAATATAGCTTTGACCAAATACAAGACTATCCTGATTAGGTACAGGAAGTGGAATGGGAAGGATAATGATCCGTGGAGGGTTCCTGGAAGTGAGAAGGATTACATATGGGATATCAAGATCCCAGAGTATTTCACTTTCCCAACGGAGTATGACAAGGAGGTAGTCAAGAAAAAAGCAAAAGAAATCATGGGGACATGCTTCAAGAATTTCAAGGGAACATTGTACAAAAATTTTGACTTCCAAAATAAAGAGCCAGATTTCGATGGTGGATAGTTTAGCAAGCAGAAGGACTTCTGGCAAGATTTCAAGGAATGTAGGTTATCCAAGGAGTACTTAGAACTGAGCAGGAAGAATAAAGAGAACTCACAGAAAGCAACGAATCCTCATCGTCTCGACTCTCGTGGCTACGCCAAAAAGATGCCAGGATTTGAAGCAAAACTTGAAAAGATGGATCGCCTTGCTGAGGAAGGCGTTTAGGTTGAGACCGCCCATTGGGAGCCAAGATCGATAATACACTATATGGGGAGGAATGTATGTCATGCTGAGGACGGGAGCTTTAGCTCCACAAATCCACCCATGAGTGAACTCATCCAGAGGATCTCCTAGGTAACTAAGGAGGTGAGGCAAGGGACTCGCACTTCTAATAGGGAGAAAGACGTGCTCACCCAAGCACTCAGAACCAAGGAGCACCCTGGTCGCACTAGAGGAACCAGTGTTGTTCCTTAGAAACTAGCATTCCCCGAAGAATCTCACACTTATCGAAGCCACTCGAGGGGTAGAGCGGATCAGGAGGCAAAGTGTTTGAGGCAACTAAAAGAGATGGAAGACATAATGGATGCATGGATTGAGGCGACTGTTGAAGCACGAGTCCAACAAATTTTGCTATCTAAGGGGTCAGGAGTACTACAAAACCCTACTCCTACTTCCTTTAGTCCACAGTTTAGGGGTCGCAGCAGCTGCGGATCGACCCTGCTCGATGAAGAAGATGCGAATGTGCCTTATCCGGTCACGGCATCACTGAACCCGTCAATGTCAAGTTGTACATCCATCAGGAATGGACAAAGGACAAGGTGGCGCTCGGCTAGGCCTGGCCTACGGGAGACGTGACCATTAATAGCCGCCCAATTCCACAGGGGTACGCTCGCGTCACCATTGATAGAATACTTGATAAGAAGTATAACAAGATACAGATTGAGTACCCCGCAGTGGAAGATAGGCCAAAACTTGGTCATAACAAGGGCTCTCAATTGGCCTGGCGCAAGCGCTTCATTAAGCTTGACCACAAAATGTCCTCTGACAATGAGGACGACTGCGAGTCACTATAACACAACATACTTTTGCCGACACTTTCTATTGTAGGCAAAGGGCGCCTTTGCCAACAGATAACCTCCCGCGAAAAGTTTTGCCGACAGTTTAGAAACAGTCGCGCTAGAAGCCGTTGGTGAAACTTTTGCCGACAATTAATAGAATCCCTGACACTTTATGTGTAGGCAAACGGTCTACCTACACCGACAGTTGAAACCTTTGCCGACAGTTAACCCTTTGCCGACAGTTAAGACCTACGCCGACAGTTAAGACCTTTCTCGATAGTTTGTATGTTGGCCAAACCATTTCCAAGGTATTTTACAAACCATACCCTGCCCAAAAAAAATTGTCGGCAAAACTGCATAGATATAATTACAGTTAAAATAATTCGACAAATCCACTTTTGCTCATATAGAAGGCATCACATTGAACAAATTCACTTGATTTTTGTATAAATAATATATTAGATCTTTCATACATACACCAACTTGATATATATATATATATATGTATATATATATAGCAGGTCAAGTGATGATCATAGTACATAGAGCCATATAGGTCCAAGATATAGATTAGTCAGTTACAGACATGTATAGACATACTAGAAGTCTTGTATTAATTGGTTATGACTAAAGCTAAGAGACCACAAATCCTTTGATGAATTCCATGAGCTCGAGGAGCATTGGTTGCTGGATAGTCCCAGGAAGATGTATACGGTGGCCTTTATGAGACATAAAGCCTGTTCGCTTGCTTGTAAACGATCGTAAATTTCCAGCCGGAAACAGTATTTTTCTCTCATACCAAACCAGCCAGCAGTAAATAATCCACGATACGATACGGCCTCCCGAACAGGCTGATAACCTGTAACCAATAAAGCATCTTCTGTGACTTTATCAGTAGAAGAAGTCAAACAAAAATTACATTTCAAGAATAATCTCTAGGACCACCAAAGTCTGACTTACTAAGACAACAAACTATGGGTTTAACCACCGGTAAACTTTATTGGACCATTCAAAATACCAAGCATTCCAGATGGAATCAACCACTATGCTGGTGCTTGCAACAAATGACAGTATGACACTAATAGGCACACTGAAAAGTTCGATAAAGTCTTTTTTATTAAACTGCTTCCAGTTGCTTTCTATAAAACCAAAGGAAACTCTCTTATAAAAAAACTACTTCCATGCTAAAGTGGAAATTGTACATTAGTTAGTGTCATGGTAAGTTCCAGGTTTGATGAGCTTTTGTGTGGAGGAGGTGGTGCCTAAGTGTACCATAGTCCAGCTCTTACCATGTACAGCAAAAAAGGGAAGAAAAAAAGGCATGCTGCTCAAAGCATGCTTTCTTTTACATCAACGTTTGGGAGGGCTTTATATCATTTCAGTGATGAAGGATATTCTAGCTACAACATGAAAGACCTAGTTGTCAAAAAATGCTTCAACCTCAGGTACAAGTATTTTTTAACATTCACAGGAGCTAATAGCAGTATTTTTTAACCTCAGGTAAAAGTATTTTTTAACATTAACAAGAGACCAAACAAAGGAGAGACGAGGAAAATATAGAAGATTATACTACCAAGCAAAGTGTTTTTTAACATTCACAAGTGCTAATAGCAGAGCAACTGAGAACAATAAGTGAAGCACCTTGGTACGAGTATCCAGAGTGATTTCTGATAAAGCTTCCACAGAGTAGGGTAGTTCATCTTTAAGAACCCAATTATCGTCCTCAAGAGACATCTAAAACAAATCAAATTGGCACTAAGTGAACAAATACAAGTTTAGAAATACTCGACTGTAATCTGTAAAATCTTGTGATGACTAACTAACAATATACCTTGGAATAAATTTTACAATCACCAAACAGTTGCAATACATCTGATGAATTAATTGCTGATGATGAAAAACCAGCACACAGCGAGAAAATAGCTTCAGGAATGATAACAACATTTTGTTCATTCAAAAGAGAGAATTCCTGTCATAAAAAAATGAACCAGTGATTCAGCTTGCAAATCTCGAGGAAGAAAGAAAATGGATGACCCATTCCACATGAAGCTTACCGATGGACATAGTGGTGCATAGCATAACCACAAAAGGCAACAACATACACTATGGAGTCAGGTGAACTGAAGTCCATTTCACCCCATTTATTCGTTATTAGTGTTAACCCAAATAGCAAACTTTTTCTTGGCAATTGAAGATGCAAACACACATTCGCCACTACACATGCACAGCAAACTCACCAATCCATGCATGCCCCTAATCAGCAAACTAAACACATACAAGGGAACATTCTTTACCACTAAATTGACCCGCATGTGTGTAAGGGTGCAACCAGGATTTGGTAGTTGGAAACAAACTCACAAATCAACTACTCCTGGCTCCCAATACCTAAACTATAAGCAGCATGGTAGTATATAAACCCTCCGTTCCCAAATTTAGGAGATTTTAGTTTTGCCGTAAGTTTAACTTCTCTGTCTTTGACCAAGTTCATAGAAAAATGCACCAAATCTACAACATCAAAATAGTTTCATTAAATCCACCATGAAATATGTTTTGATAATGCATTTATCTGGTATTGTAGATGTCAATATATTTTTCAATAAACTTGGTCACCGTTAACTAGTTCCTTGGACACCACATGTCATCAGTAAACCCCAATAGATAGCCTTATCTCTTCTTCCCCTCATCACCACTGCCCACCCCGCACGCTATCGTTGCCTCCGCACCAGCGTCGCCCGCCCACGACCCTTTTCACGAATTTCCTGGTGTTTGGAATCGAACCCAACACCGATGAGATAAGGTGTCAAAATAGTGATATATTACTCCCAAAATATGCAGTGTCAAAATAGTGAAATGTTACTCCCAAAATAAAAAATCATTCAGATCAGATTGGGTTGTTCAACAAAAAAAAATAATTATCTTGCCAAACAATTGCCCAAATTAAATCAATTTCACCACACTTGATGCTAAAAAATTGTCTCACCACAAGCCATCAACAGGATCTATAGGGGAAATTTAGTCTAGTTTTTAGAAACCAAAATCATCACATCACAGATCACACACAACCTACAATTCTATGCCAAATGAAGAGACAAGGTTCATAAGAAAAGGAGAGCATACCAATCAAGCAATGGCAGTAGAAGGGCAGATGAAGACTAGTTTGCAGTCTTACTTGTCGGCTCTCCATGTTGGTACTTCATTGCCATCGGTTCAGTCTCTTACAATCCTGCTCCACATTAGAACCACAGATGAAACGACTTCTGACTATGCTGCAACAAGAGCACGAAAAAAAAACTTATATATAAACTTCCTTCTAGAGAAGCACAAACATAAGAATTGCAACCTTACTTGCGTCGTATTACACAAATATCAGCACCCACCACGTTATTATATGACAAATTTCTGAAAAACATAAGCACACAATGAGCACAAACTGAACAAGAATTACCTTAAGACACAAGACAACAACAAAAACAAGCTGTCACAGATAGGCTTATGCTCCACTCACAAGTGCAGGAGGCTTTCAAGGTGATCCACGGAGTTTACTACATTGCCAATCTCTGTTGGGATTGGCCCGTTTTACATGTTCTCCAGCAGACCGTAACAGGGAAACAAATAGGAAACTAATTGTTAGACGTATACAAACACTAGCACTGACAAAGGATATCCATGAGAATACTCACACATCCTCAAGATAGCTTAGGCTTCCTATAGCTGAGGAGAGCATGCCCAGATGATTCTGGGTTGAACCTTTTCCCTACCAAGCAAAAGGTAGGAATTAGGTGTGGATATGTAGAGTTTGACGTTTAGTTAACAAATAACCAGCTGACATGAATTCAAGATCTGGGAACCAATATATAGAAAGTACCAAACCTACCCAGCAAACTTGAAATTTTTAAAGCCCAGATGGTTTTCTAGTATTGATGAATTCTATGCAGCAATTGACAGAAGGGAGAAGAAATTTACCTTCCCATACCTCCAAATCTTCAGCGACATTGCAGTTCACACAAAGAAACTACCAAGTTGCAGCAGCCTAACCGTAGTCTAGCAAAATCTTACTGCAACCTGCTCAATAATAAGTCCAATCAAAGAGCATTAGAAAAGAAGTAAGCTACAGTTCTATGAAAGGAATTCACATAATTGAAAGCACCTTTTCTAAGTTCATAGCGTGTAACACTCCAAACCTTCAGTACAGGCAAGGCAAGGTAACTTGTTAGGAAGCAGGTTAGTCAAGGAACAGATGTACACAACCTAATCCTTCGCTGCTCTTGGGCTCTACAAAACTTGGAGCATATTTATGATCCGTCATATCCCAAAATAGAAGATCCAAAACCTCATAGGTAGCTCCTTTTCCATGGTGCAATAACTGTTCTGACTCAAACACATAAATACGATTCTTGATGCAGAGCCAGCTGCATGACTGATCCTTCTTTGCTTCCTTATTGGATATTAATCAACATGCACAAGAAAGAAAGAAAAACTCAGAACTGGTCTTTTTGCAACGAGGACACTTGTATGCATTTCAATAGTTCCAAGACTAACGTATACTTGCACTTGCAGCTTAAAGTTCAATTGATTCCCTTCTCTCTCTTTTATATAGAACAGTCACAGCATGTTTTTCGCATAAATGACTAAAGTAAAATTACTATGAATTGCCGCCAGTGTGAATTTTGTCTTAATACTTGAAATAAGTTGCAGATCCGGCAGAACAAAACTTACAAGCAAGTGATGGATTGTGATGTGTACAAGATATTGAATCCAGCTGATTCCTCTGCAAAATCAACTAAAGAAGTAAACATCGCATCTAAAAAGGGTTCCTTCTCCATAGAGGGGAAGAGATGTGGATCTAGATTGAATGAAAGTTTGGCAAGAGAAGCAACACAAACCTTGAATCTTTCAGTCCTTTCTCACATTTGTCTCGTCCTTTCTGCCACCAAGAAAAAAGTACAAGAAAATTAGTTGTCCCCAAACCCTAGCACATAGGGGAACGGGATGGAAGGAAAGGGAAGCCTCCCCAAACCCTAGCACACATGGGAATGGGATGGAAGGAAAGGGATGCCGAGGTGATGCACCTGGATGCGGAGGGGAACAGGGATGCAGCGGTGGTAGCCCTCTTGCTCGCCGGCGGTGGCCTAGTGCCGCGGCGGTGTCTGTCCCTTGGGCGGCGGGGTCTAGGGCCGTAGCCTGGTGTGGCAGGATGCTGGGGCGACGGCGGGCTGGGGCGGCGGGGAGCTGGGGCGATGGAGGGCTGCGGCGGCGTCCTTCCCTTGGGTGGCGGGGTCTGGGGCTGTGGCCTTGGGTGGCAGGATGCTGGGGCGACGGCGAGCTGGGGCGGCGGCGGGCTGGGGCAGCGATGGCTGGGTGGCGCTGTCTCTGTCGACCTTCGACGGTGTGCGGCAGGAGCGATGGCCTGGGCGGCGTACGTACGTGGGGTTGGAGCGGTGGCTTCGGCGGCGTGACTTTGTGGGTGGACGGGAGGATTGGGCCTAGTGACTGTTTGTTTTATTGTGCTTGCGCCTACCCCTTTTAACGACACTTTGAGAGTGGATGCATTAGGCTACGACGACAATTTTTTTGTCTATAACTTTCGCCGACACTTTTATCATTGGGAGGAGAAATGCCAACATATAAGGTGTAGCCTTAGGATACTTTTGGCTACAGTTTATATGACGCTAAAAGATGACACAATTGCCAACATAAAATGTGTTGTTCAAACCCTAGATTTACCAACACCTAAGTGTTTGGAAAAGTGGGACATGGTGTAGTGTGTCTTCGCCCACCCGCGATGATCACTCACCATCTCCCAATAGAGATCACTCCCCTCCTCATCCCTTGCCATCACCCCCATGAAGGCAGAGGTCTCCTTCTATTCCTCCTCGTTCGACTCCATCTTCCTCAGTCCCGACAAAAGAGAAGACTCCTCCTCCTCCTCCTCCATCTTCATCAGCCCCGGGAAAACAGAATTATCGTCGTCATCCTCCTCCTTTTCCTCCACCTCAGCCCAAAACAAGATCAAAGGCATCCTCGTAGTCGCAGAAAAGGTCCTTGGATTCGGTCGCTAATGCTCCCAAAGTGGACCAACAAAAAAGAAAAAGGCCGTTCAGTGGCAGTGTTACAAACTTGATGGAAGAAAAATTTACAGTACACATCTCGAAGGAAGATTGTGTTAGTTTCTTCAATCTCTGTGCCTCACTGCCTCCGTGTTTGTTGAAGTCCGAATTCGAAAGGCAAATACAGAATCAGTACGCTACAATAAGAGCCGATGAAATATACAATGAAGATTTAAGGAAGATACAGAAGTACGTCGAAGACAACCCCGAATTAACTATGGAAGAGGCCGCGAACATCTATTATGATGTACAAGGGATAGGAACACCGGCAATGAAGTATGAAAGGGGCAATCTTTTGGTTCCCGATGACGAGTATAAAAATTTGACAACATATATGCGCTAGTTGCATGAATATTACATGGCTCAAGCAACAGAGACGGAGGACTTTGGTTTTGAGGTTATTATCCGTTCGCCACATGTTTTTTATTATCTTGAAGAAGAGAAGTTAGATGTCGAGTGGGAGTGCTTGTTCCAGCTATACTAGAAACGCTCTCTTGATTCACAAATGTTGACGCTGTGGACTATGTAAGTAGCCTACACGCACGATATTATAATTAACTACTCTCTCAAGACACAAATTATTAACTTTTGACCAATTCCCATGATTTTATGTAGGTGTATAGCAAAATTTTGCATACTAAAAAGCAAATAGGATAACATAGGCTTATTGGACCCATTGTGAGTCAATGAGAAGACATGTTTAGGCCTCCATGGATGTGACGTGGAAGACTTGAAAGAGAGATTGATTGTTGTTTTTGATGAATTCAAGATGAAGAACAAAACCCACATACTTCTAGCCTACAACTGCGAGTATGTATTTTCGGCTTTTAATTTTATGCTTCTTTTTTCGTTAAGATTATTCGAACAACCGTTTCGTCTTCATTTGTGTCAATCTTGCTAAAAATCTGATCGAGGTGTGGGACTCGAAGAAAAAACCATTTCATCATCTAGATGCACGGGTGGCAGTGCTGAATTAGTAAGCGATCCTAATAATATATTATTTTCTAGTCACACATATCGCTTTCTAATGTTTCTTCTTTTAATGGTGCACAGTGTCCGAAGAAGACATATCGGTGGGACACAGGTCCCATTCAAGGTTGTCGAAATGGAGGGGAAGTACCTAAAATAGCCAGCGGGAAACAATGAATGCGGGTTTTATGTAATGTGGGCAATGCTTCGCTACATCGGCGGGAAATCAGAAGAAGCAGATAAGTTGGTGTGTATAATCCACATTTCAACAAGATTATTTTCTGATTCCTCTTTGGATATCATCTTTTTTGAGCGACGGCGCAAGAAATATAACCACGAAAGACAGTTAGACATGGAGATCGTCGCACTGCAATCGGAGCTGGCAAAATTCATCTTAGCCGAGGTATTGAAAAAAGATAGAGTATTTTCCATTGCACAATCCATGAAGTTCAAGGACCAGTATGGCCTAGAGTGGCTCACTAGATTATTGTAAGAAGTTCGAGAAGCATGCTTCATCTTATCGAATAATTTCTTTTTTATTTTGAGGGATCGAGATCTTGATAAGAACATTTGAACTGTAACCGTAACATTTGTAATGTTTAATATTGATGGACCTATCGTCTATGTAGCGTATATAAAGCGAAACCGGATTTAACTAAAAAATATAAATTAAAATAAATTATAAAACAATAAAATGCGAACGGCCATCATTGCTGGTTAGCAACAAACCAGCAGTGTTGTCGTAATCATCACTGCCGGTTAGAAACAAACCGACAGTGTTGTCGTAACCATCACTGCCGGTTAGAAACAAACCGACAGTGTTGGCTTGCTCAACACTGCTGGCTTGAACCATGAACCGACAGTGATGATGACGATAACACTGCCGGTTGGATTCATGAACCGACAGTGTAGGCTTGCTTAACACTGCTGGCTTGAGCCAAGAACCGACACTCTTGAAGCAACCATCACTGTCGGTTGGGACCACAAACCGGCAGTGTTGTTCAACTGGACACTGCTAGGTAGAGCCAGGAACCGACACTGTTGCCTGTAGATCAGTGTCGGTTTTTAAGGACCGATAGTGATGTCAACCCTCTATCACTGTCGGTATGCCACTGTCGATTCAAAATCCGGCAGTGAAGGGGTTTTTGAACCGACAGTGATGTCCAAATTGGGGGTAATGGTACATGCATACACCTCCGTACCACACCCAAAATTGGAAGAAAATATATAAATATTTGATAACTTTGCGCTCTAGTTTTATTATTCACTTCGTAGTTTTGAAAATAACCTCAAATGCCAATTTGATTGCATCGTTGCGAAAATCACATCTCAACGAGCAAAATAGATTATATACATAAAAATATTTTGAACTAGCTATAATAGTATAATAGTGCAGATGTCGGCAGTTAAATACTAACGTCAATAGGGAACAACTGCACAACTTTCAATTTTAAGTTCATTTCCTCAAAAGACACTTTACAATTTTTTTTAAAAACCATCTCAACAACTAGATCGTTTGTTTCAACTTCTGAGTTTTGGCCGAAAGAAGCCAAATAAAAGCTCAAATAAACAGGACCCTAAGACCAGCTAAGGCTTCCTTTCATGGCCATAAAGAGGCTTGACCACATCAGTGTAATGTAAATCACGGCGACAAAAAAAGTGACGGGAATAGCTAGGCGGAGCTTGCCAGCTGGCACGTTGTGCCTTGAACCACCATAGAATATGGATTAATTTCAAAGCTACAGTGTATGTGTTCTATAATATACTGAATATTGTATTTTAGAACACTATTATTTGGCTCATTACATTTAGTTGGACCACCCTTGCACTAAAACCCTAGCTACGCCAACCGGGTGGCACATGTGCGGTGAATAAAAATTTGGGCCTAATCTTAGTCGGCTCGGTATAACCCACTAC